TCCATCCTTCCGAGGTGGGTGAAATGAGGACCCAGACTATGGGGGTGATATGCTGACTCTGTAAACCGCTTAGAGAGGGCTGAAAGCCCTATGAACTGCTATTGCTATTGCTATGTGATCAATATTTGGGTACTTGATAACAAGTATATATAGTAGTTACAGCATCTCAGGGCAACATAATTGCCATTTGCGATTTTCCCAGGGAGCTTTTGACATGCAAAATCAAGAGGGGCAACCAGATTTACTTAATGATTACATGATTTGTTTAACAACAGTACAGGTGTGCTTAACAACTGTAGCAAACATCAGGCGTGACTCACTTAATGTGGCCAAAAGTTAGTAACAGAAGTTCTGGTTCCAATTGTGGTCATATGTTGAGAACGACCTATAGTATGAAAGAAGAGATGGCATTTCCACCACCCCTTCTTTCCTCTATTTCCTTCCCAATCCATTCAAAATGCACCATCACCCAGTTTGCTACCTTCCTTATACAGGATTAAAAGGAGTGCACCTTTGTAGGCCTGTTGAAAAGACAAAAGCCTCCTCCTCGGAGTAAAAAGTCTCTGTATTCGGCAATGCTGCACTTTGAGAATTTTCTGGGATGATAGACACTGAAACAAAAACAAAAAAAGCAACATATTAGAGAAATGGTTTATAGCACAGCCATAAAGAAATATCTAGGGGTTTTTTTTGAAAGCAAAAAGATCAGTACGGTAGTCTACTTTCGCAGCAGATATTAATAGTTCAATTCAAATTTTTAAAGCAGCCTTTTCATATTTTACACAGATTTTTGATAGTATTCTGTTTCAGACAGGCCAGGGTGTAAGGAGAACTTGGGTCATTGCGGCCGCAGGAAAGCAGGTGGTGGGACGGAGAGGGTGAAGCCAGGGGGCTTGCTGCCCCCTGCACCTAAAAAATAATAAGACCTCCCCAAAAATAAGGCCAAGCCCTTATTTGGAGGGTCAAAAGTAAATAACACCCTGTCTTATTTTCCGGGAAACAAGGTACTATAACCAAGTGAGAAAAAAAACAAGTTATGTGATCTAACACTGTTTCTGATTTGAACTTTTTTTGTTTCACTTTTAAAACTAATTTCTTGTCATGAAAAGATAAGAAAAATAAGAAAAACAGGCCAGGCTTTAAAGTCAAAAATTATCTAACTTTTTTGTGCAAACAATTATTTGTAAAATAAGTTCACGTGCATAGGGGTTGTTTTTGTGTAGGTTTTTTAAAAAAAATTGATTAAAATAATTTTTATCCTTTATGGCAGTGGTTCTCAAACTTGGCAACTTTAAGACTTGTGGACTTCAACTCCCAGAATTCCTCCAACCATGGGGAACATGTGCTGGCTGGGGAATTCTGGGAGTTGAAGTCCACAAGTCTTAAAGTTGCCAAGTTTGGGAACCACTGCTTTATGGTAACAGAAAACAATAAGATGAATAAATGTTTATTCTCATGAACCACATTATTTTTTTAATTTGGTCTGAGCAAAATGTAAACAATAATTGAACTGTGCATAAGAATCAGTTATCACTACAAACCCTGTTTCCTCCATGATACATCCACCCCAGGATTCTGTACAATCACACCCTTCTTAAATGGTAAAAATGAAAGAGAGAGAGGGAGGGAGGGAGAGAGGGGGCAGAGAATAAAATTAGTTGGCAATATGCAGTACAAAATACACAGTACTTCACATCTTTGCATTTTGAATAGTATATCTGATAAGCATAAACGAATTATACATTCTGCAATGAAAGACTGCAATGAGTAAACTAATCTCTTCCCAACAAAGAAAAAGTTAAGATGNGTGAGTTTTAAATTATATATTGTTATGCTTGCTGTTTTCTGGGTTTTTTTGTTTGTTTTTTTAAAAAAATTTTGTCTGTATCCCCCTTCCCCGGTTCGAGTTGTGAGCCGCCCTGAGTCCCCTTCGGGGGGAAAGGGCGGCATATAAATTTAATAAACTGAACTGAACTGAAATGCTCTTGAACCCAAAGCAAAGATATCTTGTACTTTGGGAATGAAACACAACTCCTTAAAACCTCTTACTTCCTAGATATAATTGCAGGGTTGGTTCAGTTTTACATCTGTTACAAAGTGAAAATTCTCTGATAATATGTAATACATAAGGCCACCAGGAGAATACACTTCCTCTACACCTTATATTATATGAAAGACTGTGAATTTGACTGAATTGAGAGACAGCTCACCCCTAAATAATACTAATCTTAATGCACATATTAGAACAAAGTGGAATAACAGCAGATTTTGTGAGGCTGAGATTTTAATCAACCCTCTCACGATTGTTCTTTTTAGCTAGAAATTAAGACTGAATTCTATCACACGAACATTAATTCAAAGTCTATACCAGTAGGCCAGTTTGCAATTCTGAGAGATGTATAATTCCCATGGGGAAATATTTGCCCACTCACAAAAGGAGCATTATGACATAGTCAAACCAAAAGAGAATATGGGCATGGAGTTTGGAAAGAGATAGCAACTTGTTCCTCATCCTTTAGGTTAAAGGATGAAAGGATGATATTTATACTGTATGTTACTCTTACATCCTTACAATGCATAACATTTAGCTTTTTTTTAAATAAACTAGAGCTTTTGAACAAGCTATAGTGTCCATATTATACACAAATATTGTGCAAACCAAAATCACAAACCACTTAATGGTCTTAACCAGTGTTAACACATATGTCAATCATAGATACATATTTGCTTTCATTGTATTCTATCATCACAGATGAAGTTGATCACAGAGAGTCAAATTACCACTCAATTGTGGGTCTCACTGTAACTTAAAGCAGTGTTGTTTTGAGGTTAAAATCCTGGGATGAGGAAGAAACCACTAGAACAGTGTTTCTTAACCATGGCAACTTGAAGATGTCCGGATTTCAACTCCCAGAATTTCCCAGCCAGCATTTGCTGGCTGGGGTATTCTGGGAGTTGAAGTCCAGACATCTTCAAGTTGCCAAGGTTGAGAAACACTGCACTAGAAGATCCTGAACTAAGTTGAAATACAAATGAAATTTTTTCTTTGTTATTATGCTAAACCTAGGTGTAAGTTAGAGCAGGCATGTACAGTAGCCTTTGACTTACAACCATTTATTTAATGACAGTTTGGAGTTATGACGGTGCTGAAAAAAGTGACTTATGATTGGTTCCTTGCACCTACAACCATTGGAGCATCCTTGTAGTCATGTGTAGTCAAGAGCCAAGGTGGCGCAGTGGTTAGAGTGCTGTACTGCAAGGCCACTTCAGCTGACTGTTATCTGCAGTTCGGCGGTTCAAA